GGTGTTAAGATGTACACAAGGAATAATGATAAAAAATAATTCAGAAGCATTTTTGTTTTTTCTCCGGTTAAATAACAATAAGTAAAAGAGCATATATGTATATATGTGAACTGAATATAAAATCAGCTCCTCTTTTTCCTTTGCTTAGTGTGGAAAGCAATAAATAATATTTTCCTTGTAGTGTTTTATCTATATTTATGCCATGCATACATTGGATACACCATGTAAAAGAGGTCTGAAATTAAAAAAAATAAAAAATAATGTAATTTTCCTCTGAACATTTTAATTTAAAGATTTCTAACAGCAGTATATGCGGACAAAAGCCTTTATAAATCGCTTCAAGTGGAAAAATGAAATGTTTCAGTGGGGTAAATAGGCTATCCTTCATTTCATTAAAATTAGGTTCGTTCTAAGTAGCGTTCTTCTACATTGCCTCTTATTCTACCTCATTTAATATCAAATATGAGAATTAATATCACATAAACTACGCGCTGATAGTTATCAAAACATTGTTACTATGTAGATTCTTGGTTTACATTAGAATTTAAATAATAAAGGACCACTGATTAACTAATTCCATCTGAAAAAGGTTATATAATCCAAGACATTGTTTAATGCCCATATTAATTTTACATAACCTTTGTTTGCATGATCAAAGTAAGGAAACAAGAATATTCTCCACTTAGGACAGGTTACATTGATTATAACTATTTTCTTCAAATTAAGATTCTTGTTGAGACACTTTTGCATATTTTTTCACCGCTCTTTTTACCAATATTAGCAGCAGCAACAAAAAATATTTCAACATATATATATATATATATATATATATGTACTAGTTAATGACGTATGCGGTTAAAAATAGATGCGGAATTAGAAAAATGATGGTTAAAAGTGCCTAACATAAAAAAAAAATAGAATAAGTATACATATATATATATATAGCTAGATAGATCGATAGATTCTTATGTGTCGTTTACCAATAAAATAATGGAAAAAAA